AGCGTGGGAACTGAGAAGCATCTGTGAAGTCCAAAGTCCAGGAGCATAGGCTCAGGAGGAGATGGAACCTGACCATAGGACTGCAGAGGGTCTCCCTGTCCCCACACCTACAGCCACACTGTTAAACGCATGCTCATCTCATTCCCTTACTGAGTACATTTGGTCAGGTTTGCAACAGAAAAATCACAGGACATACTACCCGATGAAAACACAGTTTGAAGAGACAGGGCAAGCTCTGGAATGAGATTGATGGATGTCAGGGATCTTGGAATTACCAGCCCAGGGACTTGAAACAACCAAGATAAATACACAAAAGTAGACATTGTAGGGGCTGGCATTGTGGCACATTGAGTAAAGCCACCACCTGCAACGCTGGTGTTCCATACTAGAGCACTGGTTTGAGCTCTGGCTGCTCTGCTTCCTTTCTTTTTTGGTTGTGGTCGTGGTTGTTTTAAAAATTATATATTTGAAAAGCAGAATTACACAGAGAGATAGGGAGACAGAGAAAGAGAGTGAATCTTCCATCTGCTCATTCACTTCCCCAAACGGCCACAAAGGCTGGGGTGATCCCAACCAAAACCAGCAGCCAGAAACTCCATGCATGCCTCCCACATAGGTAACAGGGACCCAAGCACTTGGGCCACCATCTACTGCTTTCCTAGATGCATTAGCAGGGAGCTGGATTGGACACAAAGCAGCCAGTACTCAAACTTGTGCTCATATGGGATGTCAGAGTCTCAAGTGGCAGCTTAACCCGCCGTGTCACAATGTGAATCCCTGCTGCTCCACTTTTGATCTAACTTCCTGCCACCCACATGGGAAACCAGATGGAGTCCCTGGCTCCTGGCCTTAGCCTATTCCACCCCTGGGTATTACAGCCATTTGGAGAGTGACCCAGTGGATGAAGACTCTCTCTCTCTCTCTCTCTCTCTCTCTCCATCTTGCTTTGTCATTCTACCTTTCAAATACATAAATAAATGCATATTTTTAAAAGTTGATAACATGTATAAATAGGAGAAAGTAAGCAGAGAGATGACAATGTTGACAGTCTTGACAGAAACTGATGGGGACAAGACATAGGGTAGCAGAAATGAAGACTGCTTTTGATGAGATCATGGGTAACCTGGATGTAGCTGAGAAAAAGAGGCTGTGGCAACAGGAACTTCCAAAAGTGGAAAAAAAAAAAAAGACTGAAACAATGGAGCATAATATCCAGGAACTGTCAGACAACCACAAAAGGTGTAACAGATAGGTAATGGGGGGGAAATATACACAAAACAAAAGAGCTGTTTAGTGTTTAGAGCTGTCATGAAGAAGAACCTCCCTGAATTAATGTCAGACACCAAGCCACACAGCCAGGAAGTTCAAAGAATAAAGAAAAGGACAACATTCCCCCCCCCAATCCAAAAGGCGGGCAACTAGAAGCATCATATTCCAATGCAGAAAATCAAAGATAAAGAACAAATCCTGAAGGAAGCCAGAGAGGAGAATGCAGAGGAGCAGAGATAAACATCGCATCTGACTGCGCTGCCTCGGAAGCCAAGCCATCCAGCCAAAGGGTGAATTATTTAAAGTGTTGAGAGAAAACAAACACCCAACTCAAATACCGTGCGCTACAGAATTACCCTTCAACAGTGAAGGAGAAATAAAACTTTCTCAGACAAAAAACAATTGGGAAATTTGTTGCCAGTAAACCTGCCTTGCATGAAATGTTAAAATAAGTTTTCAGAGAAAGGGAAGATGTTGTCAGACCTCAGACTACACAAACAAAGAAGGATCCTGGGAGAAGGAACAGGCAGAGGTAAAATAAACACTTTTCATTTTTCTTACTTGTAATTGATCTAATGAGTAACAATTGATTCAAAATAATAAGAGCTACAATATTTTCAATGATTATAGCTTTTATAAATGGAAGGAATGACAACAGTGATACAAAGAATGGGAAGGAAGAAATAGGACTACTTTGTTATTATAAGGTATTTGCTCTATTTATGAAGTCTTTTATTTGGAAATGGACTGAATTAGTTGTAAATGTTTAAAACAATTATAGATTAAAAATGTATATGACAGATATAGATCAATGATGATGAAATGGAGAAAGATAGAGAAGCTTTATATTAATAAAAGAAAAAGGGAGAAACTACATTAATCTCAGGTTGTATAGATTTCAGAGCAAGGAAAATTATCAGGGATCAAGAGGGGCACTGGAAAGCAGGTAGACTTGAATTAAGAAATAGCGCTCCTTACTGTGTGTGCACCTAAAAACAAAACATCAAAATACGTGAAATGAAAACTGATAGAACTCCAAGGCATGAGTCCGCTGTTACATTTGGAACTTCAAAATCCCATTATCTATAAGGGCCAGGTCCTGCAGGTAGAAAATCAGGAAAATCAGCTGAACTCAACACCCCCATTAATCAACTGGATGTAGTTCACATGTATAGATTATTGCATCCAACCAAATCAGAACACACACTCTTCTCAAGTCTGGGGGGACCATTCACCAACATAGCCCGCTTGGGAAGACTTTTAAAAAAGTGGAAATCATACAATATTTGATTGCAGACCAAAATGGAACTGAAGTGTTAGTTGGTGACCAAAAGATATCTGGTACATCCCCCAATACTTGAATTTCTTCCTGTATTGCATTATGGTCATAGAACATAATTTTCATGATGATAACTTTTTTAGAATGTACTGTTGCTTCCTTTGTATCCTAGTGCATGATCAATTTTGGGAATGTTAACATTTGTACTTGAAAAGTATATATATTTTCTGATAACCAAGGGTAAAATTCTATAAGTTAGTATGTTTTCCTCCTGAATAAATTATTCACATCTATATATCAAACTTACTTGGAGATTAAACAACTCATTTCTAAATAACATATAGATCAATGAAGAGATCAAAAGAAATATTTAGAAATATGTTTAACTGGGCTGGCGCTGTGGCTCACTAGGCTAATCCTCCGCCTTGTGGCACCAGCACACCAGGTTCTAGTCCCGGTTGGGGCACCAGATTCTGTCCCGGTTGCCCCTCTTCCAGGTCAGCTCTCTGCTGTGGCCAGGGAGTGCAGTGGAGGATGGCCCAAGTGCTTGGGTCCTGCACCCCATGGGAGACCAGGAGAAGTACCTGGCTCCTGCCATCGGATCAGCACAGTGCGCTGGCAGCAGCGCGCTGGCCGTGGAGGCCATTGGAGGGTGAACCAATGGCAAAAGGAAGACCTGTCTCTCTCTCTCACTGTCCACTCTGCCTGTCAAAAAAAAAAAAATATGTTTAACTAAATGGACTGAAAATGCAACTTTTCAGAATTTGCAACATGAATCAAAAGCACTGCTCTGAGAGAAATTGTTAGCATTGAATGACTACTTTAGAAAAAATGTTCATAAGTGAGTCATCAGTGCTTCCACATAAGGAAACAGGAAAAAGAACAACAAATTAAATCCAAAGCAAACAGAGGGAAAGAAATAACAAAAATTAAAGCAGTAATCAATGCATTCAAAAACAGAAGGTCAGGGCTGGTATTGTAGTGAAGCAGCTTTAGCCACCACCTGTGACATTGGCATCCCTATGGGCACCAGTTCAAGTCCTGGATGCTCCACTTCCAATCCAACTCTCTGCTGACACACCTGGGAAAAGCCCAAGATCTCTGGCCTCTGCACCCATGTGGGAGACCTGGATGAAGTTCCAGGCTCTATTTTGGCCTGACCCAGCCCTGGCCGTTGTGCCCATTTGGGAAGTGAACCAACTGATATAAGATATCTCTCTCTCTTTTTCCTCTTTCTGTAACTCTACCTTTCAAATAAATAATTTTTTTAAATAGCCAGGAATTCGTAAAGAATATCGGTGAAACAACAAATTTGTTCTTTGAAAGATGAATAAAATCAATAAGCCTCTATTAAGCTAACTAAGAAAAAAAGGAAGAAGGTAGAAATGACTAATATCAGAAATGAAAGAAGGTATACAACTAAAGATTTTATAGACATGGAAAACAAAATCAAAAGATACTATGAACAACTTTATGTAAACAAATTTGATAACCCTAGATGAAATAGATCAGATTCTTGGAGGACACAAATTTCAAGACTCACACAAGAAAAAGTAGACCTACATCTACTAAAGAATTTAAATTGAGGCTGGCATTTTGGCACAGTGGGTAAAGCCACCACCTGTGATGCCAGCATCCCATGTGGTCACCAGTTTGACTCCCAGCAGCTCCATTTCCAGCCCAGCTCCCTGCTAATATGCCTGGAAAAGCAATGTAAAATGGCCCCAAGTGATTGGGCCTCTGTACCCACTTGGGACCCCCAGAAGAAGCTCCAGGCTCCTGGCTTTGGATTGGCCCAGCTATAGCTATTGCAGACATTTGGGGAGTGAACAAGCTGATGGAAGATCTCTCTCTCTCTCTGTCTCTCCCACTCTTTGTAAGCTCTGCCTTTCAAAAATATAAGTAAATCTTTTGAAAATGGAATTTGAGTCAATAATCAATAAGCAGTCAATAGAAACAGATGTATCCCTCCCAAATATGTATAGGAAAATTACCCCAATACCTACAAGATCTTCCAGAAAACAGAAGCAAAGAAAATGCTCCCTTATTTATTCTAGTATGCCAGCATTATTCTGATACCAAAAACCAAAGTCATTATAAGAAAATAAAACTGCAGACCAGTATTTCTCATGAACATAGATCCAAAAATCTTCAACAAAATATTAAGAATTTTAAAAAAGAGATTGATTTATTTGAAAGAGTTACAGAGAGAGGAGAGGGAGGGAGGGAGAGAGAACAGAAAAGAAAGAGGAGAGGAGAAGAAGGGAGAGATGAGGAGGGCAGAGGAGGAGAGGAGAGGAGGGGAGGGGAGAAGATCTACCTATGTCCATCAGTTCACTCTCCAAATGACTGCAATGGCTAGAGCTCAGCCAGGCTATTGCGGGCATTTGGGAGTGTGAACAAGAAGATGGGCTCTCTCTCTCTCTCTCTCTCTCTCTGTCTCATTCTGTCACTTTGCCTTTTAGATAAGCAAAAATAAATAAAATTTTAAAAATTTAACAATAAGGGTTGGGGTACTTCCAGTAATGCCAGCATCCCATATGAGGAACAGTTTGAGTCATGATTGCTCTGCTTCTAATCTGGCTCCCTGCTCATGCACCTGAGAAGCCAGCTGAAGGTGGTCCAAGTTCTTGGGCCCCTGCCACCATGTGGGCAACCCAGATGAAGTTCCATGCCCTTGGCTTTCTTCTGGCCCAGCCCTGACTGTTGCAGATATTTTGGGATTGAACCAACAAATGGATGATCCTTCTCTTCTCTTCTCTTCTCTTCTCTTCTCTTCTCTTCTCTTCTCTTCTCTTCTCTTCTCTTCTCTTCTCTCTCTCTCTCTCTCTACCTTTCAAATAAATAAAATATGTCTTTACAAAATTTATAAAATAAAAATTCAACAATAAGAAATGAACAACCCAATTAATATGGGGCAGAATACCTGAAGACACCTCACCAAAGAAGATATAGGAGTGGCAGGCAAATAAGCATATGAAATGTCATTTTCTTCATCATACCTCATTAAAGAATTACAAACTAAAAAAGCATGATGGAACTGATGTTGAGGGGCAAGAGATCAAGCCACAGCTCATGATGCTGCATCCCACATCAGAGAATCAGCTCCAGTCCAGGTTGCTCCACTTCTGATCAAACTTCCCGATAAAGTGCCTGGAAAACAGCAAAAAAAAAAAAAAATGGTCCAAGGGCTTGGGCGCTGCCATCTATGTGGGCCATCAGGATGGAGTTCCTGGCTCCTGGCTACAGCCTGACCTGGCCCTGGCTGTTACAGACATTTGGAGGGTGAACCAGCAGATGGAAGATACCTCCCCACTCCCCCACCCCATCACTCTGCCTTCCAAAGAAAGAAATCTTTGAAAAATAACAATAGCAGTATTGCATACCTCTTAGAATGACCAAAATACAAAGGCAGCAACAGCACCAAATATGGAGAAATAGGAACTTGGATCTGTTGACCACAGCCACAGCCACTTTGGAAGACAATCTGACACTCTGACCATTTCTGACAAAACAAACACAGCCATACAATCCAGTAATTGTGCTCCTTGGTATTTACCCAAATGAGGGAGAAATTCACACAAATAAGTCTGCACATGGATGTTCCAAGCAGCTTTATTCATAATTTCTGGAACTTGCAAGCATCAAGATGTTCTTCAGTGGGTGAAAGGATTAATGAGCTGTAGCACCTCCAGACAATGAGACATTATTCAGTGCTACAAAGAAATGAGCTATCAAGCCACAGGCAGATAAGGGAGAATCTTACACGCATATCGCTAAGTGGAGGAGGCTAGTCCTAAAGTGTTGTGACCTTTATGGCATTCTGAAAAAGGCAGAACTATGGAGACCAAAAAGAGAAGTGGTTTCCATGGGTTGGGAGTACCAGGAGGATATGAGGCTACGCAGCAACTCCTTATGATTCCCTAATGGGGGGGGAAGGGACATAGACCTTGCTGTGCTTTGAATGTGTCCCCTCCAGCATTTCAGATGTTGAGATTCAATGGCCAACGTGATGTAACTAAGACAGCCTTTAAGAGGTGACCAGATCATGAAACTCCCTACAGCTAGGAGTGGATTTAAGCCCATTTCAAAGAGGGTTTATGCAGCGTTTCGCTCTCTTGCCAGTCTGTCCTCTGCCGTGTGAAGATATATGGTCACTCTCCTCTGGAGGATGCGTCAGCAAGATGGCATCTTGGAAAGACAGCATGGCAGGGCCAGCACTATGGAATAGCAGGTAAACCCACCACCTGCAATGGCAGCATCCCTGATAGGTGCTGGTTCATGTCCCTGCTGCTCCCATGTGGGAGACCCAGATGAAGCTCCTGGCTCCTGGCTTTGGTCTGGCTCAGTCCTGGCTGTTGCAGCCGTCTGGGGAGTGAACCAGCAGATGGAAGATCTCTCTCTCTCTCTCTCTCTCTCTCTCTCTCTCTCTCTCCCTGATTTGCAAATTAAAAAAAATCATTAAAAAAAAGGAAAGAGTATGGCTCTCAGCAGACAACAGAGCATTCTAATGCAATAAATTTCTGTTCAGTTATTTTTGAATAGCAGTACAAACTAAGGCACATGTCATTATACACATTATACATTTGTGAAATCACAGCAGGTCCAACACCAAGAGTGAAAGCTTTCTTTTTTTTTTTTAGATTTATTTATTTATTTGAAAGTCAGAGTTACACAGAAAAAGAGAGGCAGAGAGAGAGAGAGGAGAGGTATGTCTTCCATCTGCTGGTTTACTTCCCAATTGGCTGCAATGGCCCGAGCTGTGCTAATCCAAAGCCAGGTGCCAAGAGTTTCTTCTGGGTCTCCCACACAGGTGCAGGGGCCCAAGGACATGGGCCATCTTCTGCTGTTTTCCCAGGCCATAGCAGAGAGCTGGATCAGAAGTGGAGCAGCTGGGACTCTAACTAGCGCCCATATGGGATGCCAGCACTGCAAGCGGTGGCGGCTTTACCAATACGCCCCAGCGCCAGCCCCACAAGAGTGAAACCTTATGTGAGGAGGCATCACTGTGTGCTCGTCAACTCTCACCATGTACTACCCCATGCTGAATGCTGACACCTGCAGAGGCTACGCATACATGGGACAGTGGACAGATGGACATTCTCTGTCATTTTGTTGTGAATCTCAAAGTGCTCTCAAATGTTGTTCATAGTTTGGCAAGGATGAATATTATGAAATGTGGACATTAAAATAATATAAAACAAAATAGAAACATAACCGATATGAAAATGGTCCTGTGGGTGATTTGAGCATTGGACAAAGAAAAAAACAAAGATATGATCAGTGTGTAAAAGGAAAATACATTGAATCAAGTAGATTTTTTAAAAATGAAAAATATGATGGAGATCCTAAGGGATCTAAAGACCCACAGTTTTTTTTTTTTAAAGATTTATTTATTTATTTGAAAGAGTTACAGAGAGAGGCAGAGAGAGAGAGATAGAGAGGTCTTCCATCTGCTGGTTCACTCCCCAATTGGGCGTAACAGCCAGTGCTGTGCCAATCCAAAGCCAGGAGCCAGGAGCTTCTTCCAGGTCTCCCAGGAGGGTGTAGGGGCCCAAGGATATGGGTCTGCTGTCCCAGGCCATAGCAGACAGCTGGATTGGAAGTGGAACTGCAGGGTCTCCAACCTGCGCCCATATTGGATGCCAGCACTTCAGGCCAGGATGTTAACATGCTGTGCCACAGCGCCAGCCCCAAGACCACAGTTTTTTAAAAAAATTCTAAATACACATAGATACATAAAAGGGAATGAAAGGGAGAGTGGCTAAAATTTTACCAAATCTGACAAAGGACAACAACTCATGGATTCAGCAATTCTAAAAACCCAAGCATGAGAAATTCAAACAAGCCTACAACTAAAGGTGCTGTAGTAGAACTTCTGAAAACCAAAGACCAAAGGAAACCAAAAATCAGCCAGAGGGCAGGAAAGCATGTATCATTCAAAGGCAAAACACTAGAGTTAAGAAGTAACTTCAGCAGGAGAGCTGGAGGCCAGAAAAAAAGGAGAAAGCGCTGGCCTAGAATGCTTTGTCCCTTAGAGAGGGAAAAACAGTGTGCAGACAGGAGGGACTTGAAAAAGCTTCTGAGGAAATTGAATTAAAACAGAAGTTTAGGGGCCTGCACCTTGGCTCACTTGGTTAATCCTCGGCCTGTGGCGCCAGCATTCCATTTGGGCACCGGGTTCTAGTCCCGGTTGCTCCTCTTCCAGTCTAGCTCTCTGCTGTGGCCCGGGATGGCAGTAAAGGATGGCCCAAGTGCTTGGGCCCTGTATCTGCATGGGAGACCAGGAGGAAGCACCTGGCTCCTGGCTTCAGATGGGTGCAGCGTGCCGGCCATAGCGGCCATTTGGGGGTGAACCAATGGAAGGAAGACTTTTCTCTCTGTCTCTCTCCCTCTCACTAACTCTGCTTGTCAAGTAAAAAAAAGAAAAAAAAAAGAAGTCAGAAGTTTATAGGGGCTGGCACAGTAGGTTAATCTTCTGCCTGTGGTGCTGGCATCCCATATAGAATGTTGTTTGTGTTTCAGCTGGATCCAGCTCCCTGCTGTTGGCCTGGAAAAGCAGTGGAAGTGTTTGGGTCCTTGCACCCATGTGGGAGACCCAGAAGAAGCTCCTGGCTCCTGGTTTTGGATCAGCCCAGCTCTGGCCATTGCAGCCATTTGGGGAGTGACCTGGCAGATGGAAGACCTTTGTCTCTGTCTCTCCTTCTCTCTGTCTGTGACTCTACCTCTCAAATAAATAAATCTTTAAAGAAAAGAGAGATAAGTTATTTGGATGCAAAAGTTTTTTATGTATGGCTTCTTTGCAATCCATGTTTCTTCATGGTACGGTTTTCCATGACGGTTTTGAAGACCCTCATATGTGTTTGGTCTTCCTCCAAAAAGTCAGGGTGATGTTTATCACTGGGAGAACAAATGTGAAAGGAAGTCCTAACAGGATTCTTCTGGTAGGAAAAAGAATTCCCAGAAAGAAAGAGAGAGGAAAAAATAGAGACACAGAAAAAATAAATATAAGGATAAGCACAAATGATTACTGACTGCAGATAACCACAGCAATGGTTAGGCAGGAAGTTGGAAATTAGCTGTGTGTTTGAGAAGGGCCTAAGGAAACTGACATCTACAGCAGCCCAGCATCTGCACCTGCATCTGCATTTCGAAGTCACCCTGGGAACCTTCCAGGTGCAGGCCAGCACTTAGCACTTCAAAGTCCTGCCCAGATCCTGATGACCATCCAGGGGGTCCAGCCCCTTCCACCTGGCCTAATAAATATCTTTCCTCTAAGGTGGGCACCCTAGAGAGAAGCCCCTTGACCCATGCCAGCCAGGCTTCCTCTGTCTGACAACCTCAGCAGAAAACTTGGAAAGGAATTTATCTTATTTTCACCCTTTGTTCTGGAGGAGAAGAAGGGGGCTGGGGAGAAAAGGCAGGAAGGCAAGACCTATCCCCTTAAAGATCCCAGGAAATGTAAGCTGGGCACTCTCTCAGGTTCTGTCTGCAGAGTCGCCTGTCCATTCTTGTGGTTGTCCTACCCTAATAAACCTTGCCACTTTGCTTTTCACTGCTGTCTCACACCTGAATTCTTTCTTGCATGAAGACAAGGACCATGGCTTTTTCTCCGGTGATAACTCCTTGTTTTGTTGACAAGGTATGTAGAATTAGAATAATAGGAGTGGGCTCTTAGCATAGCAGGTTAAATGTCCAGGTTTTATGTGACAGTACCTAGGCTTGTGTTCAGATCACCCAGATAGAAAGCACCAGGAGACTCACCAAAATGCAAAGAACAAAGGGACTTTGTTTATAGGTCCAGCATGCTGGGGCCTGGCCTTCTATGCAATGCAGTGCTGGGACACCAAGACCCCCTTCTCTTTGTTCCCCAGGGTTTTTATAGTCCATGGGCAAACAAGTATTATGTCCACATTCCTTCTTTCCCCTGGTCCTGCTGGACCAAGGACAGCCCACCTCATTGGTTGCTCCCACCTGGCCCTACCAGACCAAGGACTGCCCAGTGTCAGGTTTCATCTTCAAGGAAGCATCCTGGGCCTAGCCAGTTCCTTTGTCTTGAGAGAAGCCTGTCATGGCCTGCCTCTGGCCTCTCACAGGCTCAAAATACCTGGCTCCAGAAACAGCTGTGTGCTGATGCTTGGGTGATTGTGTTCCGGCCATCCACAAGGAGACCTGGATTAACTTCCTGCTTCCTGTCTTTGGCCCCAGTCTTGTGGACAATTTGGAGAGTGAACCAGTGGATGACAGCTCTGTCTCTCTATTTATTCTCCTTTTCTCCCTCTCTCTGCTTCTCAATAAATAAATAACATTTTAAAAATTCAATGCAGATTTCAATCAAAATCTCAAAGGGACTTTTATGGCAAATAAGATGGTGATCAAATTTGTGTGTAAATGCAAAGAATCAACTGAGACCACCAGATGTCAGGCTGATTATGAAACTACAGTACCTAAGGCAATGCAATATTAGCATAAAAATAGACAAACAGGTCAGCAGAGCATGACACAAAAACAGGTTAGCACTGAGATCTCTTGATTTATGGTAAATCTGACACTGAAACATAATGAGAAACTTTTTTTTCTGTGAATTGTCCTGAAAAAAATCAAATATCAATTTTAAGAGTATTGTAACCTGTAGCTCACCTCATGTTCAAAAGTCCATTCTAGGAAGCCTGCAGATGTCATCCTAAAGGAAAAAGATCAATAGCAATAAAGCATCCCGGGGAAAATCCCCTGGGGGAGTTTCTGTCCGGCCTAGGTGAGGCCAAGCTTTAAGCAACAGGACACACCCAGCATTGAAGATAACAGAAACTCTGGGACTGAGAGTTAAATTCACAAACTCTGCTCATCAGACACCTGAGACCCAGTGCATAGGCAAGCTATGGTGTGGAGGACAAGAGACATCTTACCAAAGTGAGATCCAGCAATCGCGTGTAAATGGCTCCATCTCGTTAATCATCAGTAAATGCAAATCCAGCCCACAATTAGGTGTACCACATTAACGCAAGAATGGGGAACATTAAAATATATGACAGCACCAGCATTAGTGCACATGCAAAACAGCTGCAGCTCTCACGTGCATAAATCAGGACAGCTGTGCCCGAAAGCCTTTTAGCAGCATCTACATGAGTCTGACCACCTGCACACCTGGACCCCAGGAAGTCCATAGGAAGGCATACGTAACTTAACCCCATTCATGTCCACTGTGTGTGATAGCCCCAAATGTAAACAGATCAAAAGTCTATGCACAGTGGAATGCATAAGCCATGGTGTATTCACACAGTGGAATTCTCTCCAGCAATGAAAATTAACTTTATGCAGAAATGTAGATAAATTTTCTAAAACCAATGTTTGGGGCTGGCGCCATGGCTCAATAGGCTAATCCTCCACCTTGTGGCGCCGGCACACCGGGTTCTAGTCCCGGTCGGGGTGCTGGATTCTGTCCCGGTTGCCCCTCTTCCAGGCCAGCTCTCTGCTATGGCCTGGGAGTGCAGTGGAAGATGGCCCAAGTGCTTGGGCCCTGCACCTGCATGGGAGACCAGGAGAAGCACCTGGCTCCTGGCTTCGGATCAGCACGATGAGCCAGCTGCGGCAGCCATTGGAGGGTGAACCAACGGCAAAAGGAAGACCTCTCTCTCTCTCTCTCTCTCTCACTGTCCACTCTGCCTGTCAAAAATAAAATAAAATAAAATAAAATAAAATAAAATAAAATAAAATAAAATAAAAACCAATGTTTGAATGAAAATAGCCAGACAAAACATTTATGTATGATATATATATATTCTAAAAGTTTCATTAAAAATTTTCAGTTAACTTATTTAAGACACAGAGAGAGAGATAGGGAGCAAGCTCCCATTTGCTGGTTCACTCCCCAAATGCCTGCAATGACCAGCACTGGGCCAGGCTAATGTTAGCAGCAAGAACAGTATCCAGGTCTCCCATATAGGAGGAAGAATCTGATTCAGATTCAGCTGTCAGAGCTGTTTGCCAGGGTTCTTTAACAGGAAGCTGGAATCAGAAGCTGGAGTTAGGGATTGAAACCAGGTGCTCTGATATAGAATGTGAGAGTCCTGGCTGGCATCTTAATGGCTAGGCCAAATGCCCGCCCATCAATCAATGATGTTGAAACTGAAAGTAGTGATTCCCTTGAGAGTTCTGGAGCTGTCAACCTAGGAGGTGCACAAGAGGGGCCTCGGGGAGGCTGTTAATATTTTTTTAAGATTTATTTATTTGAAACACAAGCTACAAAGAGGGTGGGAGAGAGAGAAATCTTCCATCTGGTTCACTCCCCAGATGGCTGTAACAGCCAGGTCTGATCCAGGAACTCCATCTGGGTCTCCCCTCCCACTGGGTGGCAGGGGCCTAATACGCTGGGCCATCTTTCTTTGCCTTCCAAGGCACAGGAGCAGAAAGCTGAATCAGCTGTGGAGCAGCCGGCACTTGAACCAGCACTCCAATATGGGATGCTGGTGTCGCAAGCAGTGACACGGTGCCCTATTTATGCTTTAATTGGCTGGGACCACACGAGAACAGTCTCACTGTTGCAATGAATTGAGCTGTATATTTACTTGCACATCTGTTTGCACATGTGGTGTGTACATGTTTGCAAATGTATGTATATATACTTTTTAAAAATATTTATTTTATTTGAAAGAGTTACACACAGAGAGAAGGAGAGGCAGGGGGGAGGGTCTTTCATTTGCTGGTTCACTCCCCAGTTGACCTCAACAGCTGTAGCTGTGCTGATCAGAAGCCAGGAGCCAGGAGCTTCTTCCTGGTCTCCCATGCGGTGCAAGGGCCCAAAGATGTGGATCATCTTCTACTGCTTTCCCAGGCCATAGCAGAGAGCTGGATCAGAAGTGGAGTAGCCAGGACTCGAACCCCTGCCCATATGGGATGCCGGCACTGAAGGCAGCAGTTTTATCTCCTAAGCCACAGCGCTGGCCCCAGTGTGTGTGTGTATGTATATATATATATATATATATATATAATTCCATTTTAAAACTGTGGCCTATGTGGTGGTATTTCCTGTCCTGATCATAGTTATCACTGAGCACTTGCATGTGCCAGTCACTGATGGTGACACTTGGTGCCTTATTCTGAGTTTTCTTGGCTCATCCTCTGAGACAGAGTTGCTCCTCTCACTGTGTGGATTTCATGGAAGTGGACGCTGATGCTCAGAAGAGGTAAGTGACTGACTCAGGATCCCAGAACTAGAAAACAGCAAAGCCTGGCTTCCTGTTACCAGTCTTGTGGGTTTTTTTCCTCAGCATAGTATAGAAATAAAAAGCTGGGAAATAATTTGCAAAGGGGCAGAGACTTTTATTAGACAGAAAAGAAATTTTTATTTGATTGGCAGGCGACAGAGAAAGTGTCTGGTCTGAGAGGGACACTGGCTTTGAGGAAGTGTCCTGGATTTTTAAGGCATTACTGTTTTTTTCCATTGGGTCATTCTGTGAGGGTGCCCATTGGACAGGGGTTTCACATACTGTATGTGGATTGGCTTGGGGCTCATGGAGATAGCAGGGTCCCATGGAGACAGCCCGTCTCCTTAGGGGCCCAGCCACCTTCTCTGCTAGCTGTGGGTGGAAGACTGTGACTAACTTGAAGGCGTGATTTAAAACCACCAGAGTCACATAAGATAGCCGGGATCTCCTGCAGCCAGTCTGAGTCTCTCCAGGGGCTCAGCCCCTTCCCCTGCCAGCTCTGGGTGAAAGATTGCACCCACCCTGAAGCTGTGATTTAAAGCCGCAAGGT